AATTGAATCAAAGAACATTACTCGAATTTGGAATACCATTTTTATTATTAATGATAACCTTTTATATATTATGAGTATTTTTTTTAGAATTAACTATTTACTTTGTACATGATAAAATGACTAATAAAAAAGATGATTTTTTAAATAAATTCTATAATTATGGTAACAGTTACACCACTTATCCATCTCCTAAATAAATTTTTAAAGTGCGTGAAGTTAAATTACAGTGTATAATTTCTAGTAAAAGATAAATAGAAATTAAAGGAGGAAAAGTTTATCCGATCAAGCGACAATATTTGTTTGACAATAGAACCGTCCAACTTAAATTTAGCATCTTAAAAAGATTATTTGATCGAATGACAACGTTTATACTTAATATTTTCAAAATTTATTTACTCTATAACAAATTTATATAGGCCCCGTTTGGCATTTGTGTTAGAGATCAGCGTTAGCGTTTTGAAAAAGTTATCCGACGGCAGCCTTTAGCGTTGTCGTTTTCAGAATTAATCTACACCGTTAAAATTTTATGCAAAATGTTAGCGCTAATCGATAATGTTGTTCCCAAACAAGGCCACAAAACGTACCCCAATATTATTTTCTTAAACACTAATAATCTATTACAAAAAAGTGACATTAATTGAAAACACTATTTTGAAATAAGTCCTATTCTAGATTAAAATGGACTATACTATAAACCATGACAAGGGTTGGTGAGAAAAAATGGGAACTCACCTAACCAGTAAGGCACACTACCTACTGCCTGGTTTTGTTGTGTCCTAGAGCTCAGAAAACATATGGTTTCTGCATGCTGGGATCCAAATTGATTTTAATTGTATAGTCTAGTCCTTTTCTTGTTTCATTTATTCCATTTGGGAACAAATCTCTCCATTTAAAAATCACTTCTCTTCATTGTTTCTGATCTGAATTTATTAAAGTCCGATTTTGATTTGTTTCGGATTATATATTTTTTTATTTGATCAATATCTGATAAAAATATATAATACCCCGTAATAAAAATTAGTGGTAGAGAATAAACCCTAAAGTACACAAAGAAGAGTTTTTTTCTGGGTTGGGTTGCTGCAGTTAAGGGTTGTACTTGCTGCATTGACTATGTGATCCCCCCCACCCAGTACTTGCCTCCCCTTATTTGGCTAAAATGCCATGATTCTTATGTTGTCTTATATTCTTACTCCATCTTTTCTCAAGAACACTTCCTTTTTCATTTTTTTCACTTTCAATAAAACACTTTCCTTTTCTATTAAAAAACCACTTTTACCTTTACTTTTTCATACCCTACGTATCACATTATACTTTTTCTCTAATAATCTATCCATCACATCTTACTTTTACCCATCACATCAGGGGCAAAATTGGAAATCAACTATAATTTAACGCTTCCTTATTTTTGCCCCAAATCAAAATGGGAAGTCTTTTTGCAAACGGAGAGAGTAGAATAGTAGTTCTCTTCTCTTTAATTTAATCTATCATTATTTTTATATGAAAGATAAAAATTAATTTTAATTTTACCTAGAATCAGATCATATCATATACTATTATACAAAATGGACAACTTCACTCTGTGCAAAATAGAATTAAATTTTAAGAAATTTAAGAAAATTGTTGAGTGAAAAAAGTATAACGAGAATGTGTGTAATTTTAATTAGTTTAGAAAAGAACGAGAAATATATAGCATCATGTATTTAATTTCTTCCACTAATATGAAATTAAGAAAATATAAAGTTTATTTTGAATGCAAAACTAAATGAGACAATTTTTTTGGGGCAGAGCCATGATGTTTCTAGCATTTTTTAGCTCAAGACAATGAATTATTTGGGGTTCTATACGGTAAAAAGAATAGAGAAACATTTTGAGATGTAAGCTTGTTTGGGAAAGTTTTCGATTAATGGTAGTGATAGAGATATGGGCTCGATCCCTTGGGCCTATGGATTCTAGGTTCGGCTCGGAACATTTAACTACGTTTTAGGATGAACGCGCTCAGCCTTTAGTACGCCCTCGGCCAAAAATAAGTTAAGCGATGGCACCGCACATATACGTCATGATCGGGTCCCTTTAGCACCCTCGGCGTCCCAAGTGTATCGCTTCGGGTCAGGAGGCCAAGTCCTAAGGAGTCACCCAAGCTCAGCGGTCAGATGTCAAAGACGTCATATAAAGGCAATGTATCATACGACACACAGTTAACAAAATAAGCGTAATTAAGAAATGATATTAGAAAGTGATGTATCATAGAAAAAAGACAAATATAAATAATGAGGTCCATGGGCCTTGGTAGCCTATGATAGCTGGATCTCGACCCATGACTATATTATATAAATAAAACCCCTTGTCCAATAAGGGGGAGATCAACTCTGAGTACTAAATACACTAGAAGCATTGTCTTTGTTCTATTTTCTACTACCCCATTCTTAGAATCTATCAGTTAGCGTTTTAAATAAAAATTTAATGATGTACATTAAATCTGAAAATGTTAACGCTAAAGATTAACGTCAAATAAATTTTTCAAAATGCTGATAAAAACATGGTTTATAGCCTTTGTTTCACACAAGGTATTGAATGTAACTAGTTCTTAAAAAAATACTTTTCTTATCTTCTTGAATGAAAATTTCTCTGTCAGAAAAGTATAATCTAGTTCTTTTGTCTTTTTTTATTTTGTAAACCCATTTAAAATTTGTTAGAGACAGTAATGACCTATAATATAATGTTGTATTTTTGTTTTGAAAGACTTTTTCTATGTAGAAGCAAAACTCACTAAAACTTCAACATTATTGTAAAAGTAATAAATGCATAGATAATCCAATACACCGTTGTTTTATAAAAACTTTTTGCATTAATCTAAAATCTATGATGGACCTTCAAATTTTTACTCAATCATATTAAAAAGTTTATGTGGATCTTATGGACCTTAATGTTGTGTTTTCATTGTTTGAACTTATTGAATATGATCTAAATTTTTTAAAGCTTTAACTTCTTTTTTAGCATCTCCATATTCATTAATGTAGTATCTGTTCAATCTTATAATTTGAATCTTGCACAAGACTGTAGCTCAACAATGAATATCCTATATATATGTAAAAGAGAGTTCAATTGTTGTAGTGTTGACATGTGGCATGCCGCATGTGCATCCACATGTGCACTCACTAATGATGTGGATTTATGTATTTTAATTCATTGGTCCATTTTGATTTTTTAAAAAGATTTTTGAATACATTTGCATAAAACTTTTTCATTTTTTAATAATTCTATAAATATATATTTCATCATTGTAAAATATACTCCATTATATATATATATATATATATATATATATATATATATATATATAATTTTTATACTATCCACAACTTATTTTAGTTTATTACTTTTTAAAAAATGATTATATAAATTTAATCACATATGCATATTTATTAATTAAACGATTTGTTTCAAAAAAATTATCTTATTACATTATTTATTTTATTAATGCATATCATATTATTATTAAAACATTAAAATAAATAAAATTAAATTTTAATTCATATTATGTTCATATATGAATTGAACTTTTAACAAACATCCAAAATGTTAACTTATAATATCTATGTTAACATATAGATATATTTTATAGANATACTATCCACAACTTATTTTAGTTTATTACTTTTTAAAAAATGATTATATAAATTTAATCACATATGCATATTTATTAATTAAACGATTTGTTTCAAAAAAATTATCTTATTACATTATTTATTTTATTAATGCATATCATATTATTATTAAAACATTAAAATAAATAAAATTAAATTTTAATTCATATTATGTTCATATATGAATTGAACTTTTAACAAACATCCAAAATGTTAACTTATAATATCTATGTTAACATATAGATATATTTTATAGAAAAATATGCGAGCCCGTGCGAAGCACGGGGTAAAAACTAGTAGAGAAGTATATATGACTTTCTTGCGACTATGCAAACATACTTCACACATCATTAAGGCAAAAAATTTAGGCAGAAAATGACACGAGGAAGTCATTTTTCATATTTTGAGTGTTTGTTAAGGCAAATGAAAACAAGGTCAAATGAAAAATAACTTTCACTAAAAGAGAAAATGCAAGTCAAAACATAGATTTTGAAGTTATTTTTTTAAAATCAGTTTTTCTAGAACGAAGATTCTAATAGGGTGTTTGGAGTGTGATAGATTATTTAAAAAAATAGAAGTTTTAAGTAGAAGTAGAACATAAATATTTGAGAGTGTTTAGCAGTGCGTTGTTTTTAAGATTTTAGCTTCTGTTTTGAGTGGAAGTGGTTTCACTTTGTCTGACATACCAGTTTCTACTTTTCTCCATCACTATTTTGCACACAGAACACCGTTTTGGAGAAACAGTTATGCGATGCTTTTGCTTTCGGCTTTTGTGGAAATCACTTTATTCACAAATTAATCAATCTCAAACACCCTCTTTATAACTTTGCTTAAAAAGCACTTATGAAGTCTATTTTAGAATGGAGAAGTCATAATCTACAAGCAGAAGCAAATTGACAAACACGACAAATAGTATTTTAATGAAGCAAAAACTCATAAACAATTTTTAAATGCAACCCCAAACACTCCTTAAAATGAATAAAACTACTTTTTAACCAAGAGTTGTATCGAAATTGTACATCACATATTTGTATTAATTCTTTGATAATTTACACTGACATAAATTACTATATAAATTTATGGGATTATACTAATATTTTTAGCTTGAACCGTAGAGAGTGTGGGGTTACAACCCGTGAACACATAGCATGGTTGTTCTAAAATGAACTAGAAATCAACTGCTTAAGCTTTCTCACTCGGAGGCTCCCATCTTCATTTCTGCTCTCTCTATCTCTCTCTCTGCAATCTCCGGCGGATTCTTCTCCGAGAATCTCTGCACCTCCTTTTTGTCTCTCCGGCGGATTCTTCTTCCCGAACCGCCCATACAACTGCCTATATACTTAGCTTGCTCAGAAAGTTTCCTCGGCGGCGGCGGCGGCGGCTGTCTGTCGGAACCAAAGCGCTTGACAGATGCAGTCAATCGCGGTCTCGGTTCGTATTAGCTGTCGAGTGTGATGACTGCACTCTTCAGTCAATGGCCGTCTACGTGCTCCATTTGAGTCTGCTGTCGTTGGTGCTGCTGTTCGCAAACCCTAGTGGCGGTAGCGGCGAGAAGGGCTCTCTTTTTGCTGCTCCTGTTGAGGAATTCGACTCAGATTCTGACTCCGATTTGTATCTCTTCCACCAGGACTACTCCCCACCTGCACCGCCTCCTCCGCCTCCCCACCCACCGTCTGTTTCCTGCGAGGCTGATCTGGGGGGTGTGGGCTCGTTGGATACCACTTGTAAGATAGTGTCTGATTTGAATATTACAAAGAGTGTGTATATAGAAGGGAAGGGCGACTTTTCCATCCTTTCTGGTGTCACAGTCAATTGCACCTTTGCGGGCTGTGAAATTGTGATTAATGTAACTGGGAGTTTTAACATTGGTGAGAATTCCACTATACTTGCCGGAACATTTCAGCTTGTTGCTACCAATGCTACTTTTGGAAATGGGTCTGCTGTAAACACTACTGGGTTAGCCGGTTCTGCTCCCGAACAGACAAGTGGGACCCCTCAAGGTTTGGATGGTGGAGGGGGAGGTTATGGAGGGAGAGGTGCATGCTGCCTGACGGACACAACAAAACTGCAGGAGGATGTCTGGGGTGGGGATGCGTATGGGTGGTCAACGATGCAGGTGCCATATAGTTATGGAAGTAAAGGTGGAACAAGCAGCAGAGATTTGGACTATGGTGGAGGAGGGGGTGGAAGGATAATGTTGCTGGTGGATAGATTATTGGAAGTGAATGGCATGTTGTTGGCTGATGGTGGGGATGGAGGTACCAAAGGCGGAGGTGGGTCTGGAGGCAGCATCTACATCACAGCTTATAGGATGTGAGTTTATCTGCTCTATCTTTATGTCGGCTTTACATGGCTCAGAGTATTATTTTAATTTTCACCTTTGTTAAGGAAGAGCAATCATCCTTGTCTTTGACATAGGCAGGGAGAACACAACTGTTTTACGCGAGTCTTTTGTTTTATGAATGTGTGGTTTTTATTTCAATTTTTCTGCAATTTAACTTGTCAGGAATCAAAGCACTTATATTGTTACATAGTACATATTATTCTAAATAAACCTATGCTAAAGTACAGTGAGGGCCTTGTGTTGGATATCCCAAGAAATGTCCACAACTCCACACAAATTTATTTAAAGGGGAAACTTGATCAAAAGTTCAAGGATCACAACTCCACCCTGAATCTAATCAATCATCATTCTATGGGACTCCCAAATGAAATTATTCAGCTTCAACCATCATTTTTTTAAAATCGGCTTCCACCCATTCTATGGGTGTAATGGCAATAGCATATCATGATCTACAATTATTAGATATACTCATATACTGATTTTTTTTGTCTTCAATCCTTTTCCACCTAGTTTTAAGTTTTTACATAGTGTGGGTGGCCCAGCCAAGATTTAGCTTCCTACTTTGCATGGACTATATTTATTGAGCGCTCAAGATAAATGTATACGCCTATTTATATTTAAGACTATGTTTGAAAAACAAAGGAAAAAGAACTAAGCACTACATATGCATGTATAGAGAGTTAGCCATCCACATTAGCTTTTCATGTTACTAAAAATTCAGGTGTTATTTTAGCTCAAGATAAATATACACATCTCTTTATATTTAAGACTATGTTTTAAAAACAAAGGAAAAAGAACTTAGTACTATATATATGCATGTATAGAGAGTTAGCCATCCATTTTAGCTTTCCATGTTTCTAAAAATTCCGGTGATTTTAAACTTTTATGCATGTATCCTTCATTCATGTGTTAAATGAAATTTTATTTTCAACCTCATTTCTCTTTTTCCACCTGTTTTTTCCTCATGTAGTTTCATGTTCTGGGGTATGACACTTTTGTCTTTTTATCACCTTTTAAAATTTGCAATGGGATGTGTTGTGAGTGTTTCTTAAGTAGCTCCAATGCTCTTTTTTAAAAATCCATAATCAGTAAGTCTTTAAATTTGTGTAATTATGTGTGTAAGTCATTCTATTTTCTTTTTAAATGCAGGACTGGAACTGGTGAAATAAGCGCCTGCGGTGGTGATGGTTTTGCAGGTGGAGGTGGTGGAAGAGTTTCTGTGGATATTTTTAGCAGACATGAAGATCCAAAAATCTTTGTGTATGGTATTGGCCAACAACATAATCTGTTTCTGTGTATTGCTCTTTGTTTATTTTCCTTGAGCAATGGTGAAAGTCATTAAAATAGCCATGTTTATGCACATTGGAACTGTCCACATGGACTCATCCTGAATGTGAAAAATAGATTTAAATTCGAATGCATATGACCATAATTTGTAAGGCGTTGCCTAGGCGATAAGGCACTGTCCCTTGGACGCCTAGTCTGCTCGCCTCGCCCAGAAAACCTTAAGGCTTTCAAGTGCTCGCGTAGGTGTCGCCTTACGTGGCCTTACTCTTGCCTGACGCCTTGGACCCCTTCAAAATTTTGAAAACCCCAATTTTTTTAGTGCAGCCCACTTTTTTTAGTTCATCCCAATTATTTTGAAAGCCTAATTTAAAATGTTTAAAAAGATTTGACTTAAACCTGTGACCTACGATACACACACACACATATGTATGTATATCAATATCTATAGGCTGCCTAGGTGTCACCTAGGCGATATGAAGGTACATTGGCACCTCGCCTCGCCTTGGCACCTTACAAACTACGCATATGACACAATGTTGAAGCATATACAACAGGGCTACTTGAGAAAGGTCTGAATTATTAGGTGTGTAGCTGGGGATTTCAGGTGTTGTTTAAGAGTAAGGTGGGAGACAGGTTTGGAGGGGTGCCCTTGTTGGGGTTTGTTTATTTTTGTCTTTTTTACTCTTCATTTCTTTGTTATCCCATACTTCTTTGACCCTACTGCTCATCTCTCGGCATTTTCTTGTTGTAATATTATTTTCTTTAGCGAAGAGTCAGTTGCTTTCTTATTTGGTTGGGAAATGTTTTGCGTTGACCCACCCTCTTAAACCCACTTGTGGGGCCTCACCGGGGTTTTGCTGCTGGTTTTTTAAGAAAAAGATGAAGCGACCCAAAATTAGGCTTAAGTTTGTGTGCACATGACACGATGGTGGGTGCATATGCAGCAGAGTTCTAATCTTCTATACTACTAACCTCCATTAATATATTTAATTATCCATTAGTAAAAATTACTCCCTACATCCCAAAATGAAGTTTACAACTAAAGAAATGGTTGAAAAGTAAAAGTGTGGTTGAAATTTGTTTAACACAAATATTTTGCTAGTCGCATATTCTTTTCCTTAATTGGAAAGTACGGAACTACGGAAGTCAAACTTTATTTTGGACAAATTGAGTATAAAAAGTTGATATTTTGAAAATATACGTCGAGTCGATTTATAAAACACTTGACATAATAGGATTTTGTTGCATTATTAGTAGATAAATACTACTACCATCGAAGTAATGTATGTGAATATTGAGTAGTGCAAAATTTTAAGGGTTGCAACTAAAGAGAATGGTGGAAGTACTTGATTAGGCTTTTAGATTCTGTTTCTGGTCTATGGAATAAATGGTGACCTAGTGCTACAGAGGTCTATAACCCCCCTTCCCCCATTCTGGTTCAGTCAAAGCTTTTGTTTACAGAGATTGATACTGTGACTACTATGGTTAAAGTACCACTGTTAGCGGGTTTATGGGGGACATACTCTAGCTGTATAAAGTTTTTTGTATACATTCAGGGTCCATTTTTTGCACACATTAGGATTCCCAAATCTGCAAAATTCAGCCCAACATAAGTTTATTGTCCGATAACAGGTGGAAGTAGCCGTGGCTGCTCTGAAAATGCTGGTGCTGCGGGAACCTTTTATGATAATGTTCCACGGACTCTTACCGTAAACAACAACAACAAATCAACAGATACAGACACACTTCTCATGGATTTTCCTCAGCCACTTTGGACTAATGTTTATATTGGTAACCATGCAAAGGTTACTCTTCCTTTGTTATGGAGTCGTGTTCAGGTTTGTGCCTTAGAACCTAGTTTCTACTAACACTTCTAGGGCAGAAAAATTTCATAACTTGCTGCACTAATCAGAATGCCACAGACATATTAAAGGGTATAGCTTGAATGCCTCGAAGAAAGATGTTATTAACAAAACATCAGTGTTTCTGTATTTCTCCCTTCCAATCACAGAGAGAGGGCAAGTTACTAGAATTGCAAGATTACTAGAATTTGACATCAGTTAATATTTTGATTTTGTTTGTCCCAAATTGCGCTTCCCTCTTCCTTTTTTGGCCATCCTAAAAACTTCTCATTTTCTTTTAAGAGAAGAATACTGTGATTCATATTGATTTTAATCTTTTCAAATAGATCTCAAATTCACAATCGTACAACGTAGATACTGTTTAAAAAGTAATTAGGGAGAAGAGATTGTGGTGGATGGAGTTATATTTTTTATTGCATGTTTGCTTTTAAAACATCAGAAACAACCTCTCTACTTCGGTTTAGGGGTAAGGTCTACGCACGCACCCTCCCTGGACTCTATTGTTGTGGGATTTTACTGGGTTTGTTGTTGTTGTTGCTCGTAAAATATCAACAGATTATGTCCCATGTTAATAGTTTTTGTAATCCTCTTCAATGCTTCTCATATAGGTCCAGGGCCAAATTAGCCTCTTGTACTATGCATCATTGAGCTTTGGGCTTGCAAAGTATTCAATGTCAGAGTTTGAACTGTTGGCAGAAGAACTGTTGATGAGCGACTCTGTTATTAAGGTAACTTCGCATTATCTTTTGTTTTTGTTGCATTGTATAGATATGCTGTCTGAATGAGACCAAACAACACATGCATTAAATACCTTTCTCATTTTTTTTGAAAGTTTTAAAAAAAATGTCAATGTGATGCAGTTATCCATACAGTTTATTCATACCTATTCTGTTGCGGATGTAAAATCAAACGTAAAAGAAGATATTGATCCTTCCCTACATGTGGCTGGATGGAGCAGAGTGAAGCATTTTCACAATTAGAGTTTTGACTTAACCATTGAGGATTTTTGACTTAACCATTGAGGATTTTATTAATGATTGTGTAAGTATAAATAGGAAAAGTCTTATGAGAAACCTACTACGTCGTATAACCGTACTAGGAAATACAAATCCTTATTTAGGGATAACAACAACAACATTACCCCAATGTCCCAAAGGCTCCCACCCATTGCGGGGTAAGGGGGTGGGATGTACGCAGCTCGGGTACTTCATTATTAAAGAAGTGCAGATAGTTTAAAAAGCCATTTTACTTTTTTCCATCATTTCTTATTTAGGGACATTTACTGATATAAGATAAGACTACTGATATGAGATTTATGATAAATCCCTTTAGGAAGATTAACTAAATTAGAATATGACTAATAATAATAATAATATATTAATGGCATCATATTCCTTTCTGTAGCTGTGTCCATCCTTCTATGTATTTAATGCTCTATATCTTTTTGCCATTTTTGGCATGTGTCTACTGTCTTAGCAACATAATCTTTATCTCCCCTTCACTATTAAGATCTGTATGCAGACTTTGGTCATTGCCAAGCTTCTGTTTTTTAAGTTGATTGCCGTCATCACTCATCAATGTGTTCAATGTGACTTGACATCTCCGCGGAGCTTTCTATGAAAGCATCCCTTTTCCTCACATTGCTTACCACATTATGGGATTTTGATTTTCTCAATCTGCAGATAGTTGTTCACTTGAGCATTCTATGCTTTTCTGACTCATAGGCCGTTTCAGGTTTATGGAGCTTTACGCATGTCAGTTAAGATGTTTCTGATGTGGAATTCACAAGTGCTTATTGATGGCGGTGGAGATGCCAACGTTGAAACATCAATGCTCGAGGCTAGTAACCTAGTTGTTCTTAAGGTGTATATCTAACTTATTTTCTTATTTTCTTGTATCTTCTGTTCTTCAACCTGCAGGTTAATTTTTATACCCATTCTTGTACAGGAATCATCCTTAATTCATTCTAATGCAAATCTTGGTGTTCATGGGCAAGGTTTACTGAATCTATCTGGAGCTGGGGATTGTATTGAAGCTAACCACTTGGTCTTATCATTGTTTTACAGCATTCATGTAATGAGCAGTCCTCTACACACTATTTAGATTTTCTGCACTTTTCAAAATTCGGATATGATGTCATTTCTCCCCTTATAATTTAATGATCTCGTACCCTCTCTTCTTTTTGTGATGTATGTACCCTTGTTACATTTTTATGCCTATGATTGTATGCTTAGGTTGAGTGTGAGAGCCCAACTATCATTTTGCTGAGGTTTAAACCATCTTAATCTTGTGCAGTAGCTCATTCAATTTCTTAATCTTCAATGCTAAATGATGTTGTAACTAAATTTATGTGCACATTAGTTGATTAATTGCTACACACATTCAGCAACAGTTTTCTGTTTTGCCAACTCTCTCTTTCTGTATGAAGGTTGGACCAGAATCAGTATTGAGGGGCCCCTTACGAAATGCCACAGCTAATGCTTTGTGAGTTCTGATCTCTTAATTCCTTATCCGTTCAGTCACTAACCTTTGATATAACGGATCAATATTTTTTGGCTTGGCACTCATTCTTTAAATGTCATAGGGCACCAAAGTTGAACTGCAATACTGATGATTGCCCTGTTGAATTGCTTCACCCCCCTGAAGACTGCAATGTCAACTCTTCACTGTCCTTCACTTTGCAGGTAGCTATCAGCTATTTGATGTTTCATTCTGCTGCTTTTTATCTGTGTTCCTTCAATTAAGTTTCCTTAGCTTATTCCGTTTCACAAAACTGTAGGTCTGCCGAGTTGAGGATATCCTTGTTGAAGGGCTGATAGAAGGATCTGTGCTTCATTTTCATAGAGCAAGAACCGTCACTGTGAAGGCTAATGGGAATATTAGCACATCCGGAATGGGTGGGTATGCTTTTAAGTTTTGTAAATTTAGAATTATATTCCCACAGTTTTGTCTTTTATTGTTGTTGTTGTTGTTATTATTATTATTATTATTATTATTATGTAAAGACAACTGTTTTCTTAAAATTGTTACTCAGTTTCATAGATCCTATCTACAGGTTGTGCTGGTGGCTTGGGACAGGGACAAGTCCTCAGCAATGGTCTTTCTGGTGGTGCTGGTCATGGTGGCAGAGGTGGTAATAGATGCTTCAATGGCAGCTGTGCAGAGGGAGGGATATCATATGGGAACCCATATTTGCCATGTGAACTTGGTAGTGGAAGTGGAAATGGCAGCTTAGCTGGGTCAACTTTTGGTGGTGGTATTTTGGGTAAGCATGAGCTTGCTGTACTGTTTGACTTCTCTATGACTCCAGTTTTTAATCAGTACCTCTAATTCTGTTGGCATACTACCATTTTCTTGCTAAAAAGTTGGTTGTCTACAAGAGGTTAAAGATTAATGTGAGTTACAAGACTTACTATACCTATCCACATGCACATTAGTCTCACTACCTATTGGATTGATTTTTTCCTAAGAAGTCAAGAACTGTGCGTTTAGTTCTGAACTTGTTTCTGTTTTGCTACACTCAATCTTGCTTTCATTCGCGAATTCTAATGCGAATACTGTCAGCACACCTATGATATCTTGAATTTTCTGTGTTAGAGAGTCAGAGCTTTTCAAAATAAATATATAAAAATTAACACCCCTTTCTATGCTCCTATTTGCATTTACTGAAGCTTAGGTGGTTATTTTATCTTATGGGGATCATTGGTAGGTTGCATTCCCAACATCTCTGCTTCTTTCACTATAAAATCTCTCTGATGGTCCATCATGTTATTTAGCACTGTATACTGATTGAAAATGAAATAAAAGTGTGACAATGAAACACTAAAACTACTTTCCAGAAAGGCCCATTTGGGGTGGCTGCAGATTCCTGGTTTTTTTATTTCAAAACTTAATAGGTAATTGACAATTACATAAATTGAAAGCCACGGACTGGATTGTATCATGTGCAGCAATGAAATGGCAAAAATGAGATTTTTATCTGCAATTTTTTAAATTTGGTGCTAAAATGAATGTATTGTAGGCAGTGCTTATTAAGCATTATATAGTTTAACAACTCTTACACAGTTGATTTGACACCATTATGCCTTATTGAACCAAAATATTACTCTGTAATTAATATGAATTCTTAACTTTGACACCACTAATCATGAGTAAAAGTTTTGGGTCGAAATATTTATTATTTAGGGTCTGTTTGAAAATCATGAAAAGAACTTTTGGAAAATGACTTCTAGAAAATGTGTTATTTTCCTAAAGTCATTTTCTTTTTCTTATGTTCGGAAAGTCTGAAAACTGTCTATTCCTGATTGTCTCCTTTCTTTAAAATGAGAATTTGAACTATTCACTCCCGGAAATTGGAGTTGCACGAACCTGGGAATTCTGTGGAACATTTCATCGAACAGTTAGGAGCATCATTTTCTGGTTTGAGCTGGGGCCAAGCCAGCAACATTCGAAGCATCAGGAACCTCTATGGGTATATAAGAAGACCCCTGCTGACCATAGAAGAGTTTTGTGATGCCGTTAAGCTTGGAGCTGCCCAGCTGCTCTCAGACGGCGACAATGTCGTGGCTTAGAGCTGCTCTGAGATGGCAGTGATGCAGTGGAGGTGGCAGGCATTTGTGTTACTGGGATTTGAGCAGTGCGTCGGACAGGGATGACAAACGCACAGAGATTGGGATGCTTTTATTTGAGAGATTGGACAGAGAAGAATGTGTGCAAGAAATATATGAGGCAGTGGGAACTGGGAAGGGAAATTGACTTCCTGATTTTAATTGCGGAAGTCAATTTCTGGTTTTGAGGGTCTGTTTTCTGCTTGAATGAGGCTAAATTTCCTTTGACTTCCATTTTATAATCTTACCAAACACCACGGGAGAACGATTTTCCAGAGTCCTTTCCCCCCTTTTCAAATGTAGATGCAGAATTGCAGATCATTCTACTCATCATAGAATATGCTCTTTTATAACCAGTTTGTACATTGTCATTCCGGATCATTTCCCCCTTGAATGAGGCTAAATTTCCTTTGACTTCCATTTTCTAATTTTACCAAGCAACATGGAAGAATGACTCTTGGAAGTCATTTCTCCCCTTCTCAAATGAAGATGCAGAATTGCAGATGATAGTATTCATCATAGAATATACTCTTTTATAACCAGTTTGTACATTGTCATTCCGTTCCAAAATCATTTTACCATTTAGTCTAAACATATTTTAGGAGTGATGGGTTAAAAGAACACAAAGGTAACTAGAGTGGCTATGATGTTTATTTTAGAAAAGTGGACAACATTTCAGGACATATATACTGAGTAAAAAGAAATATGGACAACAAATGGGGATGCGGTACCACATAATGTGATGTATTATTCTTGAGATCATCTGCTTTATATATATTATTGCCTGATTATTTATTTCATGTACTCTTATGTTCTTTTTTAATTTATATCAGTTATGGGTTCATGGGAGCATCCTCTGTCAAGTTTATTTGTCGAAGGCTCTGTTAAATCTGATGGAGACGGTTTTGAAAGAAGTTTGGTTGGGCAATTTGCAAGTAAAGAGGATCTTAATGTGGGGCCTGGTGGTGGTTCTGGGGGAACAATATTGTTATTCTTGCATGCTCTTGATCTTGGCCAGTCTGCCATTTTGTCAAGTGTTGGTGGTTCTGGCAGTCCAATGGGGGGAGGAGGAGGAGGTGGTGGTGGAAGAATCCATTTTCACTGGTGTGACATTCCTACAGGGGATGTATATCAGCCCATTGCAAGCGTTAAAGGGAGCATCTACATCAGGTTTGTGCATAAATTAATTCCATACTATCTTAAAATGATTTGCTCTTTTAAATGTGTTTAGATACTAGTTTCCCAGTGTTTCCCCTATTTCAATCTATAAACTAATAGGCCAGTACTATACGTTTATTTTAAGGTAGAAAGTAATGCAATCACAATAAGTGCTTCTCTTTAAAGCACGCCCTTTAAGTGCGTTCCAGCGTCCTACTTGTGCCTGGGATGCTAGAAGGCTCTAGGTCTTTTGTGCCTAGGAGAGCACCTAGTTCGTTAACTTCTCTTTTGACTAGAAGACTCTTAGATCCTCCCTCCGTGTTTTATGCTTTTTCTTTGTATGTGTAACACTACATGTAGTTCCTGTATAATATTTGGTTGAAGGTTTACACACAATCTTATCCCTGAAAATATAGATAATTTTGCCCCCAAACTACTGTATAGATTTATCACCATGCATACAGGTGCGCACATTGTATACCTAATTACCTACACATAAACTCGTAAGACACTAAGACTACTAATTATCATTATGCTTATATTTCTCATGGATAGATGATTTTTTTTCCAGAGTCACTTTGCTCGCAAGTCTCTAGTTGTAAGGGGTGTTTTATTGTCGTAATTTGTCCTTCTTGGCATTGCTGGTTTTCTACTGATTTTATTTTTCTGTTCTAATTTTTCAGTGGTGGGCCAGGTGGAAAGCGAGGAGGAAGTGGTCAAAATGGAACAGTATCTGGGAAAGCATGTCCAAAAGGTCTTTATGGGATATTCTGTGAAGTAAGTTCATAGTTTTCTCATTTCTCTTTTTTGATGTTATAATGAAGGCGCTCTTTTACAAATTAACACCCTAGTCAACTAGTTGGTTAGTCGGTTGACTAGTCAATAATATGCACTCGACTAGGGTGTTAAAGTTTGTAAAAAGCGCTTTCATTATAAGATGAGACATATGCTATCTCTCTACTCTGATGGGTTGACCGGCAGAGGTGATATTTGCATACATCTCACCAAGTCACTCTCCCAGACCCCACCTCTTGGGTATGGTTTGGTTTGTTCATTTCCATACCAATCAATTTCTCAAACCAATTCTTTTATCTCATGTATCTGTTCAGCCATGTCCCCTTGGAACTTTTAAGAATGTTATCGGATCTGATGGAGACCTTTGTACTTCATGCCCAAAGGATGCCCTTCCAAACCGTGGTGTTTATGTTGCTATCCGAGGTACGCACTGAGATGCATCAGTTTTTTTTTGTTTGAATTTCACTATAATACCATAATGCAACTCATTTTATTGATATGGAAACTGAATTTCATTGGCTTCCTTGTATCAATTTCTCGTTTGTTTATATGCCTACTATTGTTAACCCATGTTTCTTAGAAAAACCATTCCTAATTTGTCTATTTCCATTTTATGAATAGTAATCTTTGTTAATACTCGAACAATGGATCTGTAGCCTAACATTAATGTCCTCCAACAGGTGGCGTTACTGAACTGCCCTGTCCTTACAAATGCATTTCAGAGAGATATCATATGCCTCATTGTTATACAGCTCTCGAAGAATTGGTTTACACATTTGGAGGACCATGGCTATTTGGTTTTCTTCTCTTGTTTGTCCTGATTCTGTTAGCTCTGGTTTTAAGTGTAGCTCGAATGAAGTTTGTAGGGGTTGATGAGTCACCAGGGCCTGCCCCGACACAACATGGTTCTCAAATAGATCACTCATTTCCATTTCTTGAGTCACTTAATGAGGTCTGCTCTTAAAGACTTGAACCTTGTAAATAAATATCTACGTAGTATTGTAATACAGTATCTTTGAACTCATTATGGAATTGTTCTGACAATTTTTGTTTTTATATTTGTTGTGTTGGCTAAAAATGAAAATTTGTTGCACATAATTTCAGGTTTTAGAAACTAACCGTGTTGAGGAATCCCAGAGCCATGTGCATAGGTTATATTTCATTGGTTTGAATACATTCAGTGAACCTTGGCATTTGCCTCATACACCTCCGGAGCAAATAAAAGAGATTGTGTATGTGCTTTTTCGTTCTTATTTTCCATTTGTCTCCACTTTGATGCTACTGTTCTACACTATTCAGATGCAGCAAAGTATCAATGAAAGAGGAAGGGGATGAAAGGTCGTTCTGACCCCATTGTTGGGTCATATTTTCTGTTTGTTTTTTAATAAAAAGATTTTTAAAACAATGGAACTTCTTACTGGCAGATATGAGGGTGCCTTCAATAATTTCGTGGAAGAAATCAATGCTATTGCTTCATATCAGTGGTGGGAGGGAGCATTGCATAACATTATCTGCATTCTTGCATATCCTCTCGCATGGTCCTGGCAGCAATGGCGCCGTAGAATAAAGTTGCAACGCCTCCGTGAATTTGTTAGATCAGAATATGACCATGCTTGCTTACGTTCTTGTCGATCACGTGCTCTATATGAAGGATTGAAGGTGAGCTCTTACTGGTATACAGTGTGTTTATGCATCCATCTTGAAGTCTGTTTTGTACCTCATTTCATGTTTGATCTACAAGTCCATTCCATTAAAATATGTTTCTAAAATTGGTAAGAGTATTTGTTTTAAATTGCACTTTTTATAAAAAACAAATAAAATGTTTCCGACTGCTCAAAAAGTTTCCCATAGGGTCCATTTGGGAACCAGGAAAATGACTCCTAGAAAATGAGTAATTTTTCCAAAGTCATTTTCCTTCTATCAAACTCCAATGCTTCTTTCTCTTTTTTCTTAATTGTGTTTCGTGAGCATGAAAAGAATCTGAGGGGAAATGGAGCTGAGAAGTAGTTTCTTTCTTCAATTGGAAGTTCAAGAGCACGAACTCACCGGATTGTGTCCATACCATAGGCAATGGAGGAGGCAAGGAAAGAAGAAGATAGAGGCAGCACTTTTGAAAAATGTCTTCCGGATTTCAAATGGGGAATATAATTTCCGGATTTTTGCCTTTTCCATTGACCAAATTATTGATTTCGAATGACTTCCATTTTCCTAAGTTACCAAACACCTGAAAATGAAGAAAATGACTTCCACGAGTCATTTCTCCCTTTCCAATGTAGAATTTTGTGTTTAAGCTAAGAGGAGCCATCATCATCGTCATCATTACCAGCTTCTTATTCCCAACTTGTTGGGGTTGGTGACATAAAACTCATGGTGTCAATTAATTTTATAGTACTCCATGTTTAAGAAACGATAAACTCATGCAAAAAGTACAATGCCAATCCTTCACACTGGATGCCCTTCACGTCGCAACTTTCACAAGATGGAATAATGAAAAAAATCTAAAACTGATTCATCACAGATTTATCCACATGCATGGGAAATGTCACGACATATCAAGCTGAGATATTTTCAATTGTTATGTTTTATTGCAAGATTGATATTGTAATATCAACCTGCAGATTAACAATGCGATAAATAAATTGAAGCTTCAGGATTGGTTCTCAACCTTCAATAAGCACAATAAAATGTACATATATAGAGACTGGATGTCAACCGTTCCATATAAGATCAAACAGTTTTTCTGTATGTAATAAAAGGTGTGTCTACTTAAGTTTGAGTTATTAAAAATTTACCTATCAATAGGATGATAGGAACTTACATATTGAAGCCACTGAAATGTGTGGAAATTAACACACTCTCCTTCCATTGGAAGTGCCTATTTTCTTTTCGGAGTTGTCCCAAAATTAAGTTTCCTTTCCATTTATGACAGCTTATTTACAGAATAATGTCATTAATATTTTGTTTGAACGTTGAAAGCCTAAGAGCGGGCTGTGCTGCCCCCCATCACTGAAAGTTAGCTTGAAAGTTATTCTGCTCCTTTTTGGGTTGTCCTAAATTTATTTTTGTTTGTCTCTTAAGGAAAGCATTGTATGGTTCATATTGTTTCTCTCACTTCATAATCAACCGCAACCACACAATTTCACTTTCTTAATAACTGTGCAAAGTGAACTTGGGAGGAAAATTACAGGATGGAGGGAGTACTTTTAAGTTTTAACAGTGTGTTATATGATAAGTCAGTGCTCAAAGTTTAGCACAAAGTAGTGTGACAATGTTTTTGGGACTGAGGGAGTATATGATTACGTTAGGAGAAGGATACAGAGGTCTATATTGGGATATGATATGCAGAAATAATGAGCTATGATGTCTACTTTCGCCATTTCAACGATTCAACATATATTTGTTTTTAAACGAGCTTGTTTTTTTGGTTCTTTCATAATGTGATTCTTTTTCTATTTGCATTTGTCTGTGCTTGGTTTTGCTTTATAATTTTCTTTTATATCTTAGAAGATCCTTATGTTTTGAAGTTCTCTTTCACATCTTTCAAGTAAAACTATCCTTACAGTCTTGAATAACTAGGTAAATGCCACTCCGGATCTAATGCTAGCGTACATGGACTTTTTCCTTGGTGGAGATGAAAAAAGAAGCGATCTTCCTCCTCGACTTCGTCAAAGGTTTCCCATGTCTCTATTGTTTGGTGGTGATGGGAGTTACATGGTTCCGTTCTCCCTTAACAATGATAATATAATAACCAGCCTCACGAGTCAGGTTTGTCACCGTGGTTGAAGTGTATTAAAATGATGTTTTTTTACAGTGTTTTTTTAATTTTATGTGTTCGTTTGGATTTGGCTTTTAAAAAAGCCAAAAATGCATTTAAAACACCAAAGCAGCTTTTCACTTTTGAAAAACTGTTGTTGTTTTTATTATTATTACCTTTTGAGGTCCAGAATCAGTGTTCCAGGATGCGATGGCCGATGGGAGGTGTTTTTGACAAACACATTTTTTGTTGCTTTTGACTCTCCTAACAATCTTTGTAAAAATATCTCCAAACGCAAATCCAATTGATTTCAACTCACATTTACCAAACTAATCTTATAAAATGGACTATTTGGAAAAGAACTTTTAAGCAATCTGATTCATGTTTATCTCATTTTTAGGAGTTGGGAAGCTTTACTATTAATTATAACTGGATCATATTTGTCTTTTTACAATTTCCAGTGTGTCCAACCAACAACATGGTATCGCTTTGTAGCTGGTTTGAATGCCCAATTACGTTTGGTGCGTAGGGGTTGTTTGAGGAAAACATTTCGCCCTGTTCTTAAATGGCTTGAAACCTTTGCTAATCCAGCTTTAAGGGAGAGTGGTATTCATGTCGATCTTGTTTGGTCACAAGCTACTACCGGCAGTTATATCCACTATGGGATTTTGGTACGTTCTGTTGAGGAAGTTGAACAAACTCCTTGTGATGGTCTTGGCGGGGAACATAGGAGTGTATTATTGAGGTAACTTTCATGCTTTATACTCTCTCCTCCTGAATTATAGGTAGTATCGTATAATGCAGATGTATACTTCTTTGCATTGTGTAGTATGTATGTATATCAAATCAGTAAACCAAATTTCTAAATTTCAATCATGCTATACTGTGCAATATGTACATTGTGCTATTGTTCATACATTTCTAATTTCCCATAATGCAGTGGTAGCAGTATGTGTGATGAGAATCCATCTCATCAATTGATGGGAGATGTAATCTCAAATGAAGTTTGTGGAGGCTCTTTAAAGAGAAAAACCTATGGTGGTATTCTGAATATGAGCAACGTGAAGACACTCAAGGAGAGAAGAGATTTACTCTTTGTCCTCTCGTCTTTAATTCATAACACTAAGCCAGTTGGCCACCAGGTTTTCTCTCTCCCTCCGTTATGTATTTCTATGCGTTTTTTAAAATAATTTTTATGCTTTGCTGAGTGGGCTTGTTCATGGAATTATTGTTGTTCTTAGTACTCCCACTGTCCCTCAGAAAAGATTCAGGTTTTTTTAGGGAACTACTTTGTAGATATTGTAAGCTACAAAGTTTGTTTTGAACTAAATTTAACCTTCTAAAATTTTAAATTTAGTTAACATATTAATTTATTTGAAATATGACTCTTTTGGGACAAAAAGGTAGAGCTTAGAAAGAAGTTTGGGGGATGGGGGTGGGGGTGTTGTTGCCGTTTTTATTAATAATTTTACTATCTGACCTATTTCAGGATCTAGTTGGGCTGGTCATCTCAATGCTGTTACTTGGAGATTTTAGTTTAGTACTGCTTACATTTCTTCAGCTGTATTCCGTGTCCATGGCACACGTCTTTCTGGTTTTGTTTGTTTTACCACTTGCAATTTTACTTCCATTCCCCGCTGGAATCAATGCCTTATTTAGTCATGGACCGAGGCGTTCGGCTGCACTTGCTCGTATATATGCTTTATGGAACGTCACATCACTCATTAATGTTGTAAGCTTTCCATTCCCATTTATTTACACATACTCCGTATTTTCGGCCTGAACTAAGGTCTAACTGGATTAGTACCTTAGATCAGAGGGTTATTGCTTCTTAGCCATGTAATTCGTTTTCAAGTCTTACAATGATTTGATTCCTTAAAGAAGATGAGCGAGTCCACTCTCTGCCCTCATCCCAAAGAAAATACTGTAAAATACAGTAAAGAAGATAAAGGGCTGCCTTGTTGTTACCTTTCGTGTAATTTTCTAAAAAAACAAAGTCGAGTTTATTCAATATGATAAGTATATTAAACCAAAAAATCTAAATTTTTAAACATGATCCTTTTGCTTTGGGTTATATCTTAAAGATTGCATGTCTGTTGTTTATGTTGGCTGTTGCAGCTTGTCGCATTTATTTGTGGATATGTGCAGTATCGGACCCAATCAAGCAAAAAACTGCCATACTTTCAGCCATTGAACATGTAAGAATTGCCATTATCATATTCATTTATTTTTAAACTGTACCTTCATTCATGATTCATGCTTCAATCAATTCTTTGTTCATACTTCTGTCTCTGAGCTAAGTGGTCTCTTGGAAACAAATTCCCTACTTTATAGTAGGGGTAAGGTATGCGTACACACACCCTTCAAACCCTACCTTTGTAGAATTTTACTGATTTTGCTGCTGTATTTTTAAACCGCTCTCCGTCCAAATATTTTCTTCCCATTTGACTTTTTTTTTAATCAAAGTTTGCAAACTTTGACCTCAATATGCAGAAAATATACGATGTGTTATGGTATAAATGTAATATCAATAGATTTCTTTTGAAACATAGTTTTGAAATATCAACTTTTTATAATACACACACACACGTCTATGTATTTATGTATGTATGCATAAATATAATAGTCAAAGTAAAACATTGGAGACCGTGAAAAGTCGCCAAGTGAGAAAAAAATTTACGGACGGAGGGAGTATGAGATTTTACAGTATGACGCTAAAAAAATTACACAATGCCGGGCTGGTGCAGGGGTGAAAGCGTGTGGTGGATTTTCCCGTTTGCGATGGCAGTGTGCAAGTGCATCCAATCGAGACTCATAAACTGGCATGTTGCCAATCTAGAGATTCAAGATAGGTCATTGTATAGTAATGACCCCCAACTCTTTTGGCAATCCTGATCTCAACCAACCAAACCTCTCGCCGCCACTCAGGTTTCTCTGCCATTAACGCCCTCCGTTTTATTGTGGGTATATTTCATTCACTCTTTTTTTTTGTTGGGTAAAAACCATGAAGAGTGAATGAGTGATACACAGTAGGAAAAAAATCAGAATAAAAAAAAGTGTGAAAGAAATTGGATAGGGAGTGATCAGCCAGTTTATCATGTAATCTTTATTTTGATTGTGCAGCCTATATCTATATCTATATCTATTGTAGTAGTTCTTACTGGTGTGTAAATATGGATTAGGATTCTTACACCGAATTAGAGGCCCTATATGTAATTTCCCAATCGCTTAGTATTATATTTTGGATGAAATAGATGTGTTTAATTCTTATAACTTTTTAAGTAATAATTCCGTAGTAGTGAGACGAGGTGGGAACTTTTGTGACTACTCTCTCGTGTCATATTATGACATCGAGCGAATTGGGGGTTCTACGGTACTCTTTTCGACTTTGAAGTGATTCTTACCCCATAATCCTTCATTCCACCCCTGGCGTCCCTGTATTTTTGCTTCACTGTTGCACATTCATGATAAAACTTAATGCATTTTTGCAGTGGCAGTACAATTTGGTTTATTTATCAAAATAATTAAATGAATGCGGTGTTATGATAGCGCAATATATACCGTACGACCGATTGTGCGGTGTTTCTTGTACATCTACAACGAGTGCTTATTTATGAGTAGCTAGATACTCATTTTTGAAGAAGTGAACACTGGTTCTCGAGTAACTGAGTATTCATTTCTCAAAAGTTTTGTTAAGTTCGAAAATGAGTATTCAATTACTCGAAAATGAATAATTTGTTAGTTAAAAATAAGTATTCAGTTACTCGACAATGAATATTCATGCGGATGTGCATGAAATACCGTACATTCATGAAAAATATTTGTATTCGTGAAAAATATTTGTAAACAAATATTCATGAAAAATATTTGTATTTGTTAGTTCTGGATAATATTTATATGTGATTTAAATATTTTTAGAGATTTGTATTTGATTTGTTCACAAATTCAATTTGCGAAAAAATACTTGGTTCATTTAAATTTAAAAATATTTTAAATGAGTGTATATTGAACTATTATTTTAGTTATAAATTCATAACTAAATGTTGAAGTAAAATATAATCATATAATTACTGTATTATTTGTAAGTAATTAGTGATTTGTTTTTTGAATTTTAAATATTTAAGGAGTATAGTTTTAATTATTTTTTTAAATACATTTGTTTGAAGATCAAATCAAATACATTTTGTATTTGTAATTGTTTATATAATAACAAATACAACTGCACTAAAAAAATCAAATACAGAGTACTTTATAATTGCATTTGATTTTTTCTAATACAAATTAGTACAAATGAGGGGGGAGGGATAGAATTTATACATGAAAGGTGATAAAGTGACATGTTTGGATATGGATGGAAAAGGACTTAAAAGTAAACATTTTGTCCATACATATGTTTCCTTTGCAATAAAAATAACTTAATAAATTTTTTTATTTTTTGTTATTTAAGCTCAATAGTCACTAAGGACATATTATAGTACAGTACCTTATTATGCCAATTATAAGAACATTAATTATGTAGAGTATACGTCCAACCTTTCAGGAATATCAAGATAAATGTAACCAAACAGTATGATTTCTGGTCAAGAACAGCCTTCCCATCTTTTATACATAGGGATAGAGTCTCTGTACATCCAAACCCGAACCCGAACACCACTCATGAGATTTAACTCGTCGTTGATTTCCCTAGAGAAGGCCCACATCTACGTTTGGGGTGCAACCGCAAAAGGAGCTATCTATCTGCATCCTTTATTAGTTCCAATCACAATAGACCATACACTTGTGAGATAATCAATTCATGGAAATGAAGAAGAGGAAAGGAATGGAAACATAAGTCCTACCTTTATAAGGAAAGAGGCACATAACACTTTGGTGTGTTAAAGGCATGCAGCAACCATCGAGCCTCTCTTGGGATCCAGTTTCTAAATGCATCTGCCAAGACCAGTTAGTTGACTGGCATGCCTATCTCCTTGAGCCACAGATTTCGACCGCTATGATAAATTTATGGGACCCCAGCATCAAATGCAAACCATAAATCTAAGATCAACCATGGGTGCGCCGGGATGTTTTTCTTTGGCGACACTTAGAAAAGCTATGGGCAATATCTGCGTGTATGAATGCCTTGATGTTATAATACGCGTTTACATAAAAACAAGTGATGCAACTAGAAAAGTTTTTGACCTTTTCCCTTCCAAATACTCCATATGTCCAAAAAAGATGAAGTGCACGCTTTCTTACTTTCCTATTAGGGAAAGCAATGTTTGGCTCTTAACATTTCTTTCTATTCTAAATGCTCTCTCTGTCGATAAGGACCTCCCTGTTTCGAATTAATGTAAAATTTTTAAAACAGAATTTACATATTCAAAAACAACATAAAAATATTCTACAAAACAAGAAGTGTCAAGACTATTATCTTATCAAAAGGGTAATGTAAATAGGCAAGGGAAGAGGTCAAAGATTGATCCTCTGAATAGGAAATTCTTTTTGGAACGAAGGGAGTATAGTTCAACACTACAATGCTTACTAGTTAGCACTTTTCGTAAACTCAGTATAGTAAAAAAAATCCTACACTTCATGTTGGGCGAGGCATGGAGAAGACTTTGCATTCAAACATTGTGAACCGAGTAACCTTTTTAGTTAGAGACCGTCTTGGAGCCAACGTGGGGGCCGCTCAAGGTCCTACGGGTTTAAGTAGCAATTTTACACGTTGGTGTAAATTAGGAGGTTTGTGGACATTTGTGACTCTTCATGGTGCTTTCGGATAATAGGAGTATTACTATGACTATAACCCTTGGTCAATCTACGAAAAACGACAAGAATTTATTTGATACTACGGATGACTGGTTACGGAGAGACCCACACCAATTTTGGAGCCGCTTAATGATAATGAAACCAACCAGCAAAAATCGTGACTGTGGAAAAAACCAATGCACCAATAAAATCACGAAAGGGAGTTGAGCTTCATATATTTCTGAAAATGTTACTCAAGCGTAGATTCTCTATTCATTGGGTAGAAGTAAGGCCTGTGCAGTGTGTACATCTTTCCCTCAGACACTCTTGGGTTTGATTTTATATGTTCAAGAGTCCCACATTTATTTGACTGCTGCATTAGATCGCTGCATGGATAGCTGAAATGAAAATAAATGGCATTTCTTACTTCAATTCTATGCTATACGTTTCCATTAATTTATTTAAATTAAATGTTTATTATTTTAAAATACTTTTAGGGTATGTTTGGTTGGAGGGAAACTAATTTCCTTCCTAAATTTGGTTCAACTGTCTTTTTAATGTGGGATCCAAAATTTTCCCTAAGCTTCCCTCCGCTTCAAATGTTAATTTTTTTTTTTTT